TTATTTTTATTTAATTACTGAATGGGTATTATAAAACCAGTGTTACCTTATGACGCATGCTGTGACATCTTAAAATGTTGTGAATTTATCTATTATTTTAGAATTATATTAAGTTAAGACGAATTAATGTAACCAGTACTGATTGTCCAAATAAAAAAATCTATACATATAATAAATCTGTAGAAAAGTAATTTTTGTACATTGAAAAAATTGACAAAAAAAGTAGCCAGCGTGTTAAAGGATAACTAACCAAACCCATTTTCGAAATTTTTGTCATTTTTGTCTGTTTGTCTGTTTGTCTGTTTATATGTTTGTTTGTGCGCGCATCACGTAAAATCTACGAATTCAATGCAGACAATGCTTAGGTATATACAAAAATTCTACACAACTTGAGGCATAACTTAGTTTTTGTTTCATCGAAATCGGTTCACTCTATCAGAAGACATGATTAATTTTGTGAGTTCAAGAAGTAAAACAACACGCATTTCCGTATAGTACTTGCAACGACACTTGAGACAAAAAACAGAACTAATGTTGATAGTTGATATCTTTATTCGATAGATGGCGTTGTGCAAATACGTCATTTTCTGTATAAGATTAATTATGACATTATTGCGAGGATTTTGCATCTGAAACTCAAAGTTTTGATTAATCTACTTACAAAGGAGAAAGTTTTCGGTTCAACTCTGTGTTTTATATATAGCGTCGAGTGACAAAAGCGTAGTTTACCCCATGCGCACATTCTTTTGTGGCTGGAAGAAAAAAATCGTCCCTACGCTATAGACAGTGTCATAAGTGCAGAATTTCCCGACCATAGCGCAGATCCGATTTAATATGACATAACCCGAGACAAACCACCTTGCTCGCATTTTATCGCCTTTGCGAAAGAGACAATTTCGCCAAGTCTCTGTTGTACAATGAAGAGCCACATTATTATACTTACAAAAAGCAGCAAGGTGTTAAACGTAGGAGACGTGGAATTGCTGTAGAAGGTGAGCCCGGCATTTTTAAAGAACACTTGATTGGAAGAGTATACACGGTGCACCCAAATAATGCAGAGTGTTATTATTTACGCCTTCTTCTTCACATAGTGCGCGGGCCTACTTCTTTTACTGATCTCCGCAAATTGGACGATATAGAATATCCCTCATTTCAGGCTGCTTGCTGCGCATGGCCTTTATTAGATAGCGATCAGCATTGGGATGATGCTTTAGCCGAAGCATGCGTCAGCGATAGTCCACATCGTCTTCGTCATTTGTTTATTTTATTGACATTTTGTGGCCTATCGGACGCTGGGCAGTTGTGGAAAAAATATAAAGACGCGTTTGCCGAAGATTTTTTCAGACAGGAAAATAGTAATAGAGAACCTTCTGACCAAGTACGGGAAAACTGCCATAATAAGTCTTTGCTAGCTAGACAAGATATAGTTATAAGTATAGGAGAGAACCTTCTTAGTCAATACGGCTTGCCAACGCCGACAGCTGGTGGGGAACCAATAGGTTACAACCCTGAGGAGTTAGCAGAAATAGGGCTAAATGGCTGTTCAACTATGACGTCAGAACAGCGTCAAATATTTGATAGAGTATGCTGTAGTGTAGAAAATTCTTTACGAGAAATATTGTTTTTAGATGCACCTGGTGAAACAGGTAAAACTTTCCTCACCAAAGGTATCTTGGCTCAAATAAGGAGCCAAAACAAAATTGCCCTTGCGGTGGCCTCCTCAGGATTTGCAGCCACTTTATTACCAGGAGGAAAAACTGCAAATAAAACATTTAAAATACCAATTGACTTAGAGAACACAGAAAACCCTGTTTGCAACACCTCTCGCAAGAGTGATAAAGTTATGGAAGCTGTAGATAGAACGTTGCGAGATATAAGACAAAATGACCGACCGATGGGCTTAATGGTGCTATTCTGTGGAGACTTTAGGCAGACACTGCCTATAATTCCCAGAGGAACGAGCTTTAATATGTGAGCATATTTGGGAGGTGACGCAAACGCGCAGGTCTTCTCAAATTTACTACTTCAAATTGGTAATGGTACATACACGACTCAAAAAGGTGGTAAAGTAACTTTAGTCGAGAGCCTGTGTTCTTCTGTTGCCTCACAGCAAGAACTCATTTCTTCTGTATACGGAGATCCATCACAGATCTCGAACCATGACGCTGCTTGGCTATGCCAACGAGCTACTTTGGCACCTCGCAATGACCAAGCAGGAGCAATCAATTCTCAAATATTGGTACATGTTTCTGGAGAAAGTAGGGAATATTCATCTATTAACACGGTTTTGGAAGAAGGAGATGCCACCCACTATCCAGTAGAGTTTTTAGACTCTCTAATGACACCAAGTGTTCCAGCACACAAAATTTATTTAAAAGTTGGTACTCCACCAATAATTCTACTCAGAAATTTAAGTCCTCCAAAGTTTGTAATGGTACACGGCTGAGAGTAACAAGTCTCCAACGCAATAAATGTGCAATTCCCTGTAATGGTCCATGACCATACTTTTGATTGTTTTTCACACGGCGGACTCTGTGTTTCTCTATCACGTGTTAGCAACCCAAACAACCTTTTTGTATATGCTCCGGGTAATTCCACCGCTAATATAGTATGTAGGGAAGCATTAACGTAATCAGCTATACCAATATTACTAAATAAATATATACTACAGTCAGGATCTTAAAAATAGCAAAAAAAAAAAAAATCTTTCTTGAGGGGAGTTTATATGTGTATAGCCTACTGTTATCTAAACGATATTGTTTTGTTTTCGACAACCACGCGAACGAAGTCGCGGGCACAGCTAGTATATAAATAATTATGATGCTGTCGCGTCAGAATGTTTGTATAAGACAGTGACAGCAACATTTTTATTCCACAGATAACATTTATCTGACTTGAATAATCAGCCCTTAGATGACGAAATATGAAAAACATTCTAACATTATTTTTTCATGAAAACTGACGACGGGATAAGTAGGTTTCAATTTTCCGAAAACTTTTACGAAAATAATGCGACGGAGTACGTAGATTTTCATTTTCCGAAAATAATGTCTCGAAAACAAATGGGCTTAATAATAATCGTAATCATACTTGCCTTAAAATTTGGTAAAACGAGGTTTTATAAAATAGTATTACTAATTATAGTGGAGCATGTTTTGATAAATACAAAATATATATAACATGCAAAAATCTATAGATATATGTATAAAAAAGTCGTGTTAGTTACGCTATTTATAACTTAAGAACGGCGGAACCGATTTGACTGAAAATTGGTAGGAAAGTAGCTATGAATTGGGATAAGGAAATATGACATAGGGTAGAGTAGGTAGTATAGGTAGGTAGGGTAGGTAGAGTATGCAATGTAGGTAGAGCAGGTAGAGTAGGTACAGTAGATGGGGTAGGTAGAGTAAGTAAGGTACGGTAGGTAGAGTAGGTAGAGTAGGTAGAACAGATAGAGTAGATACAGTAGGTGGGGTAGGTAGAGAAAGTTAGGTACGGTAGGTAGAGTAGGTAGAGGTAGAACAGATAGAGTAGATACAGTAGGTAGAGTAGGTAGAACAGATAGAGTAGATACAGTAGGTGGGGTAGGTAGAGAAAGTTAGGTACGGTAGGTAGAGTAGGTAATGTAGGTAGAGCAGGTAGAGTAGGTACAGTAGGTGGGGTAGGTAGAGTATGTAGAGTAGGTAGAGTAAGTAGCGTAGGTAGAGTAGTTAGAGTAAATAGGGTAGGTAGAGTAGGTAGGGTAGGTGGAGTAGAACAGATAGGGTGGGAAGTGTAGGTACTTAGGTAACTAGGTTGAGAAGTGTAGGTAGTCAAATGGCGGGAGCGAAGCCCCGGATAAGAGCTAGTTAAACAATTAAACCTAGCAGATACAATGATGAAGGCAACGAGAATTTAGTTTCCTCGGCACGAGTTCATGTTGAATGTTCTTTATAAAAAAAGAAAACAGATATTCTACCACGTCAATGACCTCTGATTCATAGGAAAACCGGCCATTTAACCACAGATTACATTTTCGAGAATTCAGATACATCGTGTATTCGAAGTCCCAGTACGCTGTCTTTGCAACAATTTCATGTATGCGGTCAGTTTCCATATAAAAGACTTATGATAAGGTTTTATTCTTGTTATAGGCATTACGGTAAGCCTGTATTTGGATCCGTTTCGAAGAAATAAACGTCCTATTAAAAAGCCTCTACTAGAAACAAAACGAAGTATTAGAACTAATTTGCTGACTACACAGAATAGAAACTAGCGTTACTTCGTGGAAATCCGCACGGAGTACTTACTATCACAGTCATCAAGCTATAAGTGTCCACTGCTGAGCAAAGGCCTCTTCTCACACGGAGAAGGTTTGAGCATTAATCACAACGCTTGCTCAAGGCGGATGGGCTATTTCAAACTTATAATTAGAAATTATAAGCCCAGGTTTCCTCACGACAAAGACCTCTTCTAACACGGATAAAGTTTGAGCATTAATCACAGCGCTTGCTCAAGGAGGATTGGCGATTTCAAACTCAAAATTAGAAATTATAAGCCCAGGTTTCAGTTTTAGTTAGTTCAGTTTCAGGGGCCGAGGTCGCGGTGCCTCATTGCGCTTACCCCGCAACCCCGGCTAAACATCAGCCCTTTAGGGCCCCGACTGTGGTGGTCTATTGGCTCTTTGAGGCGCGCGCGGAACGCTACGCGCCGTACGCTCGGGTCCGGTTCTGGTCGGGCGGCGAGCTACCCTTACTCGCCGTCCGCAGACCCGGGCTATCCTACACTTAAAGTGCGTATTTTAACCCAATAGTCTATACCCTAGTAAGATACGCAAAAACGACTGGTCCAATTTCGTTGAAATATGATATGTAGATAGGTGGCCCTTGGCAACACTTTTTATCAACATACCACGAGAGCAAAGCCACATTCGGAAGCCAGTAAAACAATACAGGCGAATTGTGAATTTCCTCCTTCCATGGATTAGGTTAGATTTTATGAGAATATATCACAATCCTTACCTGAGCACTGAAAGGAGATGGACAGGGAAGTAACAAACTGCAAACATGACGACAACAGCCACCAACATCTTGGCTGCCTTCCTCCTGGAACGCAGTTGAGCTGGAAAAAAAATAATCTCGTCAATAAATGCCACCAACATTTTTACCACGCATTACGATTTTCTCCTGTGTCGTGGGTGCGGTTACAAACATACATATTAACATAACAAATTAACATAACAACAATTTGTGGATCACACAAAGAGTTCTTCCGTGCGCGAAACGAACCCGCGACACGTTGCACAGCAGCCAGTTGCCCAGCCACCGCACCAAACGTGCAGTCAAAGTTAATATTTTAATTCATCAACCCCCAGGCGAACGCCGGCGTTCACCCACGTTGACATACTATTGCATCTTAAGATCTCGATTGAAAGGTTAAGATTTATGAGGTAAACGACGTTACAGATAAACGAATGGTGATTTATCATAATTAGCAGTTTAAGGTGTCTGCAAATGAAGTAGTGCTTAAGTGCACTAGAGCCGCGTTTCGCCATAAATCGGGGTGATACCACGGCCTCAAAGGAACCAGCGTGAAAGAATGAAAGCGTTCTGATTCTTCATGTAAATGAGGTTGCAAGTAAATCTCCCCTTGTCCAATCACCTATTCCTCAAATCCCTAAGAACTTCCAAAAGACGGCAAACTCATTTGTAACTCTTCAAATATTGCGGATGGCAACGTTTTCTTACCATCTGGTAAACTGTCTGCTCGTATCATATGCAATATCCCAATAGTCCTTTAGGATCAGAAACCTATCGATAAAATTTGACATTATAAATCTATACTCATATTATAAAGAAGTAAAATTTGTAAGTTTGTATGTAGGGTGTTATATTTGGAACCGCTAGTCGTATTGTTAAAATTCTTTCACTGATAGATAGCTTCAATGATCCTGTATGATATAGGCTATAAAACATCACGCTACGATCAAATAGAGCCGAGCAGTGGGTGAAACCGCGCAAGAGTAGCTAGTCCAGAATAAAGACCAACTTAATTCCTAAAAATACTTACTTTAAACACATCCTAAAATGCGTTCCTTTGACAAAGAGACCTTGGAAACAAGCCAGGACTGGCTTCACTTTCAAAAACAATTCTTAAGCCTATGTAATAAGAGCTATCTTGGTATAATCACATTAATGATCAGAGTTAATTGCGTCTTAACTTAGATTTTAATTTAAACTTTTAATGGGGTATGTCTGTCGGTCCTGCTATCCGGGCAATATTGATGCTTTTTAAAAATCTCTAATTGGTTTTTTTCTTACTTTACGTCAACGGCAATTGACGTCATATTTTCTTTTTTAAATCAATTAAGAACTGCGTGGGAGTGCTATGTTTCGGCACGAATTGGTAGGCTCGAACGAAGTGATACCACAGCCTTTCAGAAATCCGGTGTGAGATAACTACAGCGTTGTGTTTTCTCGATGAGGGAGATTGCCGATGACCCATTCCTTGGTAACCTCCCCATATCCCCTCCCAATATCTAATACCCAAAAGGCCGGAAACGCACTCGTAACTGCAGTGTGATTCTGTAAGACTTTATTCTAAACTTCGAATCTGAATCCGCCGTGAATAGTAGTATTGTTACGTGTCTGACGTCACGTTCCTAACTATGCGGGCTTGGGTTACGGGATTGGATGAAATTAAACACTAATACCGGTTTTCAGACTTTCTATTGCACTTAACTGACAGCGTCCACGGATACGGATAAGTTATCGGCGTTCCTCTCCAGCAGAGTCCGGCCGACTGACACAACTTTGCCGTTCACTGTTCACGCTGACTTAACTCACTTAACTGACTGCACTTCACTATTTCACTGTACTTCACTATTTCACTCACTTTTCTTCTTTTCACTTCTTCCTTTTCTTCCGAATCGCTTTGGACTTAGAACTCAACTGCCAGCGGTGAGCCGCAGTTCCGCTTATATACCCCTGGTCAGGTTCTAGAACATTCAATTTCGTTATTCTTTTTGATCGTCATGCCTCCAGAACCTTCCAATAATTTCGTTATTCATTTTTATTTATTCTCCTTCTCGCTCCTTAATTTTTCATTACTTTCACTCAAATATTCCAGAAAGTTCGACAAAACTTCCATCAACTAAAAACTTCATGTTTACGGCGGGTCTCGAACTCGGGGTCTCTGTGGTGTAATCCACACGCCTTACCGATTACACCAACTCGTGTTGACAATTCACGACGAAATTTACAATCTCTAGGCAACGTTTGACAACCATCCATTGACGTCATGATGTCAAAGAGTTTTCTGTCACACTGCCCCCCTCTTAGATTCGCTCGTCCCGAGCATCGTTGCTGCCGTAATACCTCGCCAACCTGTCTATATGGACAACTTTCAAAGGGCTCCTTGAAGACTTCCGAATTCTGTAAGTAATGTCATTGATCTTCGTGACTATCTCGTAAGGACCTTCCCAACTCGGTTGCAGCTTTGGAGATTTTCCCTTCCTTCTGACTGGATTATGAAGCCAGACCAATGACCCCTCTTCAAACCCAACAGAATTGGCTCGTCGATCATAGCGCGTCTTTGCGCGATCACTAGCTTGAAGACCGGCCTCCCTGATCTGCTCATAAATGTCCAACATTTTTGCCCTTAACTCGCTTATGTAGTCGCTAAACTCGGTGCGAGAGTCACCAGGTGGACAGCCCGATACAAGATCTGCCGGTAATCTCAATTCCCTTCCAAAATTTGCAAATGCAGGCGTCTTTGCGGTACTTTCATGTACAGCAGTCCGATAGGCAAGCAAGAAGAGAGGTATGTAAGTGTCCCAATCTCTCTGATGGCTGTCAACCACCTTTGCTAAGTGTCGCTCCAATGTTTGGTTGAAGCGTTCGACCATTCCATCTGACTGTGGATGATAAGGGGTCGTTCGAGTCTTATGGATTCCCAAAAGTTTACAAGTTTCCTGGAAAACTTGGGATTCAAAGTTCCGTCCTTGATCACTGTGCATCTCCAAGGGCACTCCGAATCGGGTGAATACCTCGTTTACCAACTTCGTGGCTACAGTTACTGCCTCTTGATTCGGTATGGCAAAGACCTCCGGCCATTTTGTAAAATAATCCATAACCACTAAAACGTAGCGATTGCCCGAATCAGTGATTGGAAATGGTCCAGCGATGTCTAAGGCTATTCTCTCCCAAGGCATACCAACATTGTAGATTTTCATCGCCCCTCTGCTTCTTGTTTGTGGACCCTTGACAGCTGCACAACTAGTGCATTTCCGGCACCAATCTTCGACGTCATATTTGCAATGCAACCAATAAAACCTCTCCTTGATCTTCACCAAAGTCCTCCTAATTCCCAAATGTCCTCCAGAAGATCCATCATGGAACGCTTTTAATACATCCCTTATTTTTGAACGAGGCACCACCAATTGCAAATGCTCGTCCTTGCCGTTTGTTGATTCCCATTTCCTGCACAGAAGTCCGTTATGCAGCGTAAGGCTTTTCCACTGTGCCCATAAACCTTTCGTTACCGCGCTATATTGGGCGACGTCACTCCAACTTGGCTTGTTACCACTTCGTAGCCACTCCAGTATTGGTTTGATATCTGCATCTCTTTCCTGTTCTAATTTCATCGCATCGTCTCCCCATGCCTCGTCAACAGTATCAGTCCTTATCACCTTAAGAAAAGCAGTTTCCTTCTTGGCACAATGCTTGCAATCTTCCACGCATGGGCGTCTCGATAATGCATCTGCGTTGCCATGAATTCTTCCGCCGCGATGTTCGATTTCAAAGTCAAATTCCTGAAGTTGTTCCAACCATCTGGCTACTTGGCCTTCGGGATCCTTAAACTGAAGTAGCCATTTCAAAGCAGCGTGATCAGTTCTGATCAAAAATTTCCGTCCCAGTAAATACTTCTTGAAATGGTGCAGAGTTTTGACTACGGCCAGCAATTCCCTCCTGGTCACGCAATAATTCTTCTCCGGCTTGGATAGTGACTTGCTGAAGTAAGCAATAACCTTCTCCTGCTCACCATCGCGTTGTGAAAGGACACCTCCTATTCCAATATTGCTGGCATCCGTATCAACTACGAATATTCCTTTCGCGCTGGGGTATCCGAGAATTGGTGTGTTACAAAGCCGTTCTTTTAGTTCTCGAAAGGCTTGCTCACAATCCTCGTCCCAGATAAAGGCACGTTTCTCCTCTGTCAATCGATGCAAAGGCTTGGCAATGTCCGAGAATCCTTTCACAAACCGCCGATAATACGAGCACAATCCAAGAAATGCCCGAACTTGCGTTTTGTCTTTAGGTGTCGGCCATTCCTTAACAGCGGCAGTCTTGGCTGGATCAGTCTCAATTCCTCTCTCAGAAATAACATGTCCTAGATAATTCACTTCGCGCTTGAAGAAAGAGCATTTCTTTGGACTCAACTTTAAATTTGCTCCACGCAGCTTATCGAGTACCTTTTCCAATTTCCTTAGATGATCGTCAAAATCCCGTCCAACAATGATGATGTCATCGAGGTAAACTAGGCAAGTTTCGCCCAGCAGTCCCGCCAGCACCTGTTCCATCAAACGCTCAAAGGTTGCCGGTGCATTGCATAATCCAAATGGCATCACCTTAAATTGCCAGAGTCCCTTCCCAGTTGAGAATGCGGTCTTTTCCTTGTCCTTGGGATCCAAATCCACCTGCCAATAGCCGCTTTTCAGATCGAGCGTTGAAAACCATTTCATGCCACTCAGTGTGTCAAGTGTGTCATCGATTCTTGGTAACGGGTAGCTATCCTTCTTGGTTACATCATTCAATCGTCGATAGTCTACGCAAAACCTCGTTGAACCATCTTTCTTCTTGACAAGCACGACAGGTGAACACCAAGGGCTAGAAGAGGGCTCTATCACGTAATTTTTCCTCATATCGTCAATCATTTCTTCAACTTCTTTCTCACGAGCGAATGGTATACGTCTGGGCCTTTGACGAATTGGCATTGTATCACCTGTGTTTATTTTATGCTTCACCAAACCAGTTCGGCCAATATCACCATCGCTTCTTGAAAACACATCAGAGAATCGAAGAAGTAAATTTCTAGCTTTCATAGTCTCCACTTTTGTCAGA